CTACTTACGCAGTTAGTTAAGTAGTCTATTTTACAAATTGTCTGGTTGATGTCATTGAATTTGTCGTTCTACACATTTTGCGATTTTAGGGCATTACACCTCAAATCGTTTGGATTTCCTTCTCCAAGAGAATTAAGTGTTAAGAGAACGGTTATTATTTGAGTTAGTATTACGGGTATAGAAAAATAGCTGTTTGACGACAACAGATGTAACTAATTGTTACTAGTATTATTTGGAACAACAGTATACCGTCGAGCTCTAAAATACAGGCGGATTTTTGTTCTAATGCAGTATGTTACGATGTGTTGAATATCACTGATAAGTTCAAAAAAAACTGCAAGAACAAATTTTGGAACCATGCGTACCGAGTTTGCCAGCCAGTTCATTCTAAGTCTAACCTAACCTTTCTCAGCTGCCTTATGCTTTCAAGCAGACCCTCAACTTCTCTCTGATGCTCTGCTTCGGAATCAGTTAGTTCCGTACGGACTTCGCACAATTCACTCCAAACACGCCGCAAACGACGGGTTTTCGCGGCTGCCTCTTCTTGTAGAGACGAGTACCTGCGAAATTTGTGATTAATTATAACGTAGATTTCAAAATATTGTTTCTAGAATGCGATATGGATGGCCCTCTTACTTTTCCTCAATATCTTCCCTTGCTGCTGCTTTCTCCTTTAACTGATCGCGAAGACGTGATTCCTGGGTTCGCGACAGTTCCAGCTCACTAGGATGTTATATCTCGAACAAGATGACCTCCTTATAGAAATGCGCTTTGGAACTGAGCGTACCGATTGCTTTCCTCAAGCAGTCTCGCCTGCTCTTCTGCTTTCTCCAACATGTTTTCTCCACCAACTATTAGTCTACTTTCCATTTGGCTAAGTTTGGCGCGTAGTTCAGCATGTTCTGCTCTTGCTCGTTTGAGCTCTGCCTCCCTAAAACGGGCACTTCCCTTAGCTTCAACTGTTAGTATGCCAATAGTGAAAAAATAGATGGTAAGCAACAATGACTATTGGTTCAACAATATTCCCACCTCTCTAACATCTGCTGCACCAATTTTCTGGTCTCTTCGTCCTCGACATCTCTTCCAGCCAGCTCTTCACGAGTCTTCTCTAAGTTCTGCTCCATTTCCTGCATACGGAGCTCCCACGTAGATTCGTTCTCAGAATTCATGTCTGCCTCTTCTTCTGAATTTTTTTAAGATCCACTTTTTCGAACATTGGCGCATTCTTTTATCACTACAAGCTTGAATCGACTACGAACGAATAGAAGTTTGATTCGAATTGACTGTGCAATTGAAATAGACGAGCTTTAGAAAAGCTAGACCTTGGGAAATGTGAGAAAGACAACTATCCATTTTGTGAGACTTCCTGAAGTTTTACCTGCCAACTGTTTTCTGAGCATTTCTATCTCGTGTTGATACTTTCGGAGCTGCGCATCTTTTGGATCCTCGTTGATTCTAGCAACATTTTGAATATTCTTGGCACGGTTAGCATACCGTAAGGTAGACAAAGTTTCGTCATAGTTATATGATGCAGGACCAATGTTAGCAATCTGCAGGAAGTAATTTTGTTACCGTAGTTATCGAATTAGCATTAGTAATCTAACAACTCGCCATAACAGTCTTCGAGTTCCCACCAAGTGAGTCTTGCAGAAGACGAGTTAGTTTAGAGTTCCTGAAATAGATAAAAGCAGATAAGTAAATGAAGAGTACGCTGAATTCCCTAGAAAAGTAATCACGAAAATTAGTCAAAGTTTGAAGCAAACCTGTACGGAATATG